CTGACCAGAACTTGGCTAGAGATCCTGGCTAGGCTGCCGATCAACTGAAGGCTGTCTCCGTGTCATTCCTTCTTCGCCGACTCCGTCCACACCTTTGGGGACCCCTGGACCTGCTGGGGCTGGACCCCAGCATGGAAATAAGGAATATACTCTGTCTGGATTATAAGAAATCCCCAAGGGTATCTCTTAGTATTGCATGCCCTGTGATTAAAGTCAATGGAAATCTACAACAATCCAATCCACACAGGACTACTAATGGCCCAGTTCTTCAGGAATGAAGGTTTGGGTCACTCCACCAGGCAAAGAACCACAACCAGTTTAAGTGCTTACTAAAGGCAAAGGGAATACAGAATAGTGTAAAAGGGTTGTTATAAACACCATCTATTACCACCTGACCAGTTACAATAATGAAACCTAATTATCTTAAGTATTTCCCTTTAATTTATTATAAATATGCTTTTATGTATAATATATTTGCTTAATATATAGATCAGTCACCCAGCCAGCACACCTGAGCACAAAATAGGGAGCAAAAATGTTGCTAATAGGTCACTAGAGGTATTAGTGAGTGATGTCACTTCCATTTCCATCCCCTGATTTTATATATATACTAGAGGCCCAGTGCACAAAATTCACCCAGCCTGCACCCTCTCCAATCTGGGACCCCTCAGGGGATGTCCGACTGCCGGTTTAGGCCCGATCCCCCGATCGAGCCTACTAAACCGGCAGTCAGACATTCCTCTCAATCCAGGACTGCTGGCTCCTAACCACTCACCTGCCTGCCTGCCTGATTGCCCCTAACCACTTCTGCCTGCCAGCCTGATCAACCTCTAACAGCTCCCCTGCTGGCCTGATTAACACCTAACTGCTCTCCTGCCAGCCCAATCGCCCCCAATTGCCCTCCCCTGCCGGCCTAATCTCGCCCCCAACTGCTCTCCACTGCTGGCCAATTTGGTTCTGATTGGTCAGTTTCTATACCAGTCAGCGTCAAAAGCTCCGCCTCCTAGGCAGCCATTGGTTCCTCACACTTCACCCAGATTTGGTTCTGATTGGTCGGTTTCTATGCCAGTCAGCGTCTCTGGGCCTATCAACGGGGTCTGATCAGAAAGGCGGAGCTGATCAGCAGCCCAGGTAGAGGCCTGGAGAGAAACAGAGGCATGGCTGCTGGAGAGAAAGAGAGAGGCAAGTGCTGATCAACAGCTGCCACAGAGGCTATGGATCAGACCCTGCTTCTCTCTTCTGGCCTCTCTCCGGGCCTGATTCGCAGCCCCCTCAGCAGTCAGTGCTGGGTCGCCACAGCAACCCTGCACTGACTGCAGGACTGCCTTCCAGTTGGTTGAACCTCCGGTGGTGATGGACCCAGGGTTTTTATATATTAGGATTTTTTCTTTCCTCTTTTATTCCCTTATCATGTAACATAACGTACTTAAGTATTGTTAATTTTAATCATAATATTTAAATTATAGGATATTAAGGAGAAGAGTAAACATCCTTCAAGGAATTTACTTCTCTGGGTGATATCCTCAACAAAAATACTGAGTCACAGTCCTTTTGGAAGCCTGGTAGTATGAAATATGTTATCTGTATTATATAGACAGAAAAAATTGCACTTTGTATCTCTCACACATCTTATTTTACAACATTCAGTTTCTGAAGACATAATATTAACAGAAATGGGAAAATGTTGTTGATGATTCAGAGAATTCGTCAAGTTTTTAACTAACCAATATTTTTTTCCTATCTGCTTTGGAGTAATCACTTCTTCAACTACTCTTGTTCACCAATTCTCATTTATCCTCAATTGGCTCCAAATTTTTTCTGCTACATTTCAAATCCACATACTCATTCCTCTTAATGCTTTATTTATTTTAATTTATTATTTTTAGAGAGAGTGGAAGAGAGAGGGAAAGACAGAAACATTGATGTGAGAGAAACACACCGATTGGTTGCCTCCTGCACGAGCCCCGTCCAGGGCTCAGGTCAGGGAGGAACCTGCAACCAAGGTACGTGCCCTTGATTAGAATTGAACCTGGTACCCTTTGGTCCACAGGCCGACGCTCTACCCACTAAGCCAAACAGGCTAGGGCTTAATGCTTTAATTTCTACATTATTTTGGTCTTCTTTTTTTAAAATATATTTTTATTGATTTTAGAGAGGAAGGGAGAGGGGGAGAGAGACAGAAACATCAATGATGAGAATCATTGACCAGCTACCTCCTGCACGCCCCCTACTGGGGATCAAGCCTGCAACTGAAGCCTGTGCCCTGACCAGAATCAAACCTGTTTCATAGGTCAAGGCTCAACCATGCTATTTTTGTCTTTTAATGTGGCACCATTCCCAATAAAGTCAAACTTTTCACTGCAGTTTTACCTTCCATCTATTTGAAAAGGAAAAGTTCCTTAGCTACTCCAGTGCTCTTGCATGATTGCCTTTTAAATCCATCAATTTTTTCATCTTTTATCTTCAATCTCTTCCCACAAATTTAGCCTCATTTCCTCTGCCCAGCTCCTAACTCTTTAAACTATTCTTTTTAAGATTATCCTACTTGATGTGTTAAATATATTGGCGTAATCACTTTGTAAACAAAACAAAACCCACTCAAAACGGCACTTAGCAAAGTAAACAACTTACAATTTTGTTCATTTTTCTATTGGACATTTAAAACAAACCATTTATTTAACGCTGTGTCCACTTTGCAGGCCGTGAATGTCTGAGTTCACAACTATGACAGGCCAACTCTGTACAGGGTTATAATCAGGGAATGTTTTCCAACATAAAGGCCTCTGATTAAAGCCAGAGTTCTTACTGTGAATCTTTGGACTTTAACTTGAAAGAGTACAAGCATGACGACTGTATCTGTTCTTCCTTATTATAAACTGTCTTCAATGTCAGCATATACATATGTTAAATAATGTGAAATTTTCAACTAATTTTCTATTTCAAAGTTCTCTTTACTATGACGCAGGTATATAGAGGGTGTCCCCCCAAAATGTATACACACTTTACAAGCTGATAGCTCCATTTTGAAAATGACATGTGTTTTAATAAACACTGCCTTTATAATTATTCCAAGTGGGTGTGTACATTTTGGGGGGATGCCCGACATAAACCCATCTTTCATTTTCCAGGAACTCTCCTCCCACTTTTTAGACAGCTTATAAGTCTTCCATATGCCACAAAAGCTCGCTAGCTGCTAGAGGCTTGATAAAACAAACTCTACTGATACTGACTGTCGCTAAATCTCTGCCGCAGGGGCAAGTAGTTTTTACTTTATTAACCACGAAGGAGAAGAAAGGCACTCGCATTCTTAGGAACTCTCGCTCACTTCTTGATGGATGAGCCAAGTCCATAAACGATTTCTCCTCTATTTGAGTTTTGAGGCGTTGTTTTTTTTTTTTTTCCTTCTTTCTCCCCAAATGCTTGAGTTTCCAAAACTTTGTCCTTCACAAAATTTTACATAAACAGCAATTTCTCGGGTTTCCACGAGTAACCTGACCCGGAAAGAACCTGCAGAGATCGGAAGGTGGGAATCCCAGAGCCGAGGCCGCCGCCGCCGCCGCCGCTTCGGGCCCTCCTTCCGGAAAGGCGCCTGTGACTCGACACTCGATCCCCAGTGACGGGA